ATAATAACTTTAGTGTGTATATATATATATATATATATATATATATATATATATATTATTTTCAAAATCTGACAAACTTTATGAATGATAAGGGCTGGCATTGAGGTTTTATTTTATTCATTTGTTTATTTAATAGTTTTAGTTTAGTTTAGAGGATGGAACAGCCTAAATGGACCAACAAGTCCCTTGTTGTCTTTAAACATTATGTTGTAAAAAATGTTTAAACATCACCGGATTGAGCATGAATTAGACTACCATATGATAATATGGTAAATATACAATTTTAAGTTTTTTATGGTTTCTGAAAACATTTCTTTCACTTGTAAATTGTGAAAGTTTTTTGTGTTAAATTACACCTGTTTTAAAACTATACCAATTTTCTTCAGTAAGGAAACATTAAGTAACTTGAGCTTTTTAAACCATAAGAGAATTTGTGTGTTTTGGAGATGAAGAACTTAGACCAAAGTACACTCAGTTTGATATATTTTGTTTTGAACTTTACAATATAGACAGTGCTGTTGGAGTCTGTTATTGTTTAGCTATTTTTAGCAAGCAAGTGAAAAAGCAAAATCACATCTTTATTGTAGAGTTGTCACCATGAGAAACCGTTATGTTATTTTTTGGCCTGATGTTCTTAAAATAATGAAATATTTCATTAGTTGCATTATTCAGTAAAAAATGCATTTCAGCTCCAGAATCTTAGAGAAAAAAAAAGTGTTACAGTCAAGAAAAAAAATTAATGCTTGTACGTTTGGCCCATAAACACAAGTATGAAACTTCTGTATAGTTAGTTAGTTAGTTAGTTTTAAAATTTTAAATGAATAAAATCTAACATTAGATTATCATTCAAAGATTCTTTAAGTTTTCTCACTGATAAGAAACAGTGCCAAGCTAGTGTTGTGAGAGTGGCCATTTGAAGGTTTTACTTTGCATAAAAGTTTTGTGTTTGATGGAAATGAAATTATGTTAAATGTTTATTGTCTTTGTCTCTTTGTACGTATATAGGGGTGTTGAAGCTAAACAACCAAACTCTGCTATTAGAAAATGTGTCCGTGTTCAGTTGATCAAAAATGGGAAAAAAATAACAGCTTTTGTTCCGAATGATGGTTGTCTGAATTATATTGAAGTAAGTATTTTGAAACAATTATAAAAATTTTTAAGAATCATCTATTATACAAAATGAATTATTAGGTATAAATAGCATTTATTAGAACAATTAGTGTGAACTTACTTTTTTTTTAATTATTAGTCTAAAATGCTTTCTTATGTAGTAGCTAGACTATTTTTTTTCCGTCTTAGATATGCTAGGATAAATTACATGTTAAAATATGCCCATAGTTTTGACTAACTTGAATACATCAACCTGGGCATCTATACCATTAAAAGTGTGTAATATTTGGAATGAACTGAATTATGTCATGAATCCTTTAATTCACTATATCCATTATCAGTAATTTTCACTCACCTTTTTATCACTATGTAACCATAAAACTGTACATACTATGATGTAGTAAGTGCATCTTTATGAAATTTGGCAAGCTTCTAGTAAATATTACCTGTCTTGTATAGTCAAAAAATTGTATTTAATTAATTTATTAAAGATTTGTATGTAAACTGACAAATACTTTACTGAGTCAGTCTGCATCCAAGGTGGTTTTCATTAAGAATAAAAACACTTTTCATCATACAGTTTTCAAATTTTATTTGCATAACTACTAGAATTTCCTAAATACATATTACAAGATATTTTAACTAAAATTTTATATTTTACCCGTTATTTTCTCTAACCTAACACTAAGTGTATTGAAATCAGTGATATAGGGGGGGGGGGCAGTAAGAATGAGGTTACAACTATTGATGGATCCCTGGTACACCTTTACTGTGGATCCATGGGTACTTCAGGTTCTGGTATTGAAGTTGGTCTTCTCATTCAATTCTCCACCTCCATTATCATCCCAATCTGTGGTATTTCCGCCCCCGCCTGAACAGTGGGATGTGGATTTTTGTTTCATGGCTATAAGAGTTACTGGTCATTGGGGTAGTAATGACAGTTAATCCCATTCTTCCAGAATTTTATTCCTATTTATTTATGCCTGGGAGATTGGCAGATGATTGTCATTGTTTCTTATCTCAACCCATTCTTCAATCCTTCCAAGTTCACAATGCTTATTACCCTACTTTGGCATTGTGTGGCTGTCCAAATGTGAGGTTGCTGAGGCATTTCTCCACGTTCTTACTGTAAATATATTATACCTTTAGCTACACTTTGTATACAGGATCAGGTTCTACAGTTCAGGAATCTAGCCTTTGGTTTAGCATTAGTGCCATACGTCTTCTGCTGGGTTGTACAAGTTTTCACCATATTTTAAGCCTGGCTCAGCCACCTCCTATCCAGGCTATGGAATGGACAGTCATGCTCTTTCTTACAGGGATGATTATCTCTTTGAGTTTGTGGGCTTCCCATCGAATCTCCGATTTTTTGGGATGAGGACGCATGCTATCTCTTCAGTAGTCCCAGTACGACTTGTAGATCTGGAACTTCAAAAGACTGGAAGATCCAGTCTTCTTCATCAGGAGTAACATCTTAGCTTTTGAGTGGTAGTTGGTTTGGATCAACCCTACCATTAGTGTGTGTGTGTGTGTGTATATATAAATGTCTCCCACCCCTCTGTCCTGTAGTTTATATCTTCACTGATACTTCCCTTCAGGGATAGGGTGTGCATATTAAAGGTCAGGTAATCTGAGGTATATGAATGGAGGACAAATCTTCATTCTGCATCAATAATTTAGATCTTCTTGCTGTCTACATCTCTTGCAGGGGAATATCCTCATGAGACATTTTGTCAATTCCACAGTGGACTCTTAAATTTGCTGTCATGGAGACGTGTATACTCGGGGCTGTTTTCGAAATTTGGTTCTTTCTCTATGGGGCTTATTCTAATCATATCATAGGTGCATTCAGTCCTGATTGGATGGGATTGCACATGTATACCTTTCCCCCAATCTATCTGTTACTCAGAATTCAGGCTATGTTTCGATCCTCTACTTGTGAACTGTTGCTAACCCCAGATTGGCTGGCCTAACCATGATTTCTTCTTCTACAGTATCTTCAAGTAAGTCCACCTCTGCATCTTCCTCTTTGGCTATCTTTATTGAGGCATCCTCAGTCCCACATTCTACACCAAAACTTTTCCAAAATCATTGGGGTCATCTAAAGTTGCCTAGGGTGTGCCTCACAAGGAGTTTGTAATGACTTCACTAAACATGTCCACGATATCTTGTTTTGACCTGGTTTTCACTTGGGTCTAGCTATGTCTCCTGTTGTTTAGGTCAGATAACTTTTCCAACTACTCTTAGTTATTCTAAACATCTGAAGGTTTTGGACTCCCCAGTGTTATCCAGCATTCTTCCCAAACAGCCTTTTCAATTACTTAACCCAGGATACTAGGATGATATTACTTGCCTTTTCTTGACAACCATTCAAGCCCTTAATGGGTATTTTTGTTGCTGCTTACATGCTGATGTCATAGGTTAGAGTTGTTGGCATGTTTGTAGGACTCTTTATCTCTCCCCTTAGGTCCCACTATACCCTGAAAGGTTCTTTCTTTCTAAGACTCTGGCAACCATGGAAGAGGATACATCCCTTTCTACAATTCTTTTGCCATCTATTTCTCACCTCTGCAATCAATTATACACTGATTATTTGTTTTGACCTGTCAGGCCCAAAGGTATTATGTGGCTCACTCTACCTCCTTTCATGGTGATAGTCTCTACTCTGTATCTTTCAGTTTCCCAATTCCTTAGAGGTGGATTTGTAAATATCCATATTGCATATTCCGGACTTTACAGGTGAGGAATCATCAAATTCAGTACGTTTATATCTTTTGCTGCCCATTTTATTTATTCTCTGTGGGTCATTTTATGGGCTGGTATTTGCTTTTCTCTCACATTCTTTACATGATCTGGCAGTTTGCTTCTGGAGGTTTTCTACTATCCCCCATGGCTGTTTTAACAACATCTGTTAGATTATAAGGAGGAGGGTGTACTTTTGTCATTATCTTGTTTCTTTATTTTCCAGGGTCCCTTACATCTTGCTTCCACCGGATCCCACTCTGTGGTGAGTGTTGTCCAGACAGGTGTGCTTTTATCAACTCAGTTCTGCACTAGTAACCAATTTCACTATTTTCATATTACTGATTGCAACAGACTCTGTAGAAATGAAGTGTTCCATGAGACCATCTAGGAACTTACCAGATGGTATTACCATAATATCATGAACCACCACTTATGGACTATCATGAATCATAGCTAAAGGGGATTCTGCCTGTCCCTGCCAATCATTGGATTGAATAAATTGGTGTCAGTTTGCTTTTAAAAATTTAGGGAACTTAGTTCACCTATTACACCATTCCTCAGGGCTCCCCAATGCACATTACCCTCCAGATTCTACTAGTGGAGCTAGTGAATTCTTACCACACCTAGTTTCCAGTCACTGGGGTGGTGGACAGAGGCTTTTCCTTCACTCTTGGAGAAGAGGGCAAAGTTGGGTGCCCTCCTACCTGGGTCCCTGGATGTTTTTCCCAGATGTCAGTAGGAGTGGCACCAGTCTCTGTGGGAGCCTACTTGTAATACTGGTTCAGATTTCACACTATGCTATCTGGTTTGGGTGTGCATGGCCCTTCTCTTTGATCAATGTTGGTTTCGTATATTGTTCATGGAAGGAGGTCCATTATCTCCTCATAGTCTGAATGTGAAGTGGTCTCATCCTAGGTCCTTGGTTGAGCACAATGTTCCACATTCTCTCCATAATTCTGGTGGCAAGAGGAATGCTTCTTGCCCAATCGGTTAGGGAGTGAGGATGAATGTTCATAATTCCAAACCGGATGAGTTCTGTTCCTTTAATTGAGTAATGCATACAGGATCCCGTCATTCCGAGCCTGGGGTGTTGCCTTTTCAGACTTCTTCAGGTGAAGAGAACATTTGTCCACTTCAGTGATGCTTCCTTTCTCATCCTAATTCCAGTGGTTTGGAACACATCACTCTGTGGCTACAGGTTTGGATCCAAACACCAGTATATCTATATTTAACATTGCAGTCCAATTGCCCTAGCCACTATCGTGGGATATAGGGACCAAGACCTCTTAATTCCAACCCTGAGATGTGAAAAAAAATATTTTGGGTGTACTTCCATCTTAAAGGCACAACCCACCTACACACATTTTATTTTTAAACCAAAGATCTTACAATATAATATTCATGTTTTTAATATTTCCCTTATGAAGGTCTTAACTATGATTCAGAAAAACAGAATTATATGTGCAAAATGTACTTCTTTTTTTTCACTATTGAAACAATTTTTTCTTCAAGAGAAATGTTATTTATATTTTTAAAATACGTCATTCAATTAGTATAGAAAAAAAAATTGTACTTGGAAAAAAATGTTTTTGAATTCAATAAAAATAACATCTAAATGATATTTGTTAAAAAAGAATCTATTAGTAATTGTTTATGTGGTTTATGCTTTTTTCTTGGAAACTGAACTGAATTAAATATCAAATACTGCTTAAACCACTTGGTGTCGATGAAGTGAGTGTAGAATATGAATTTGGAAATTATATATTTTATACTATTGCATAGTTAAACAGGTATTTTATATCCAAATATTAAACCTGTCAAGTATATGAAATTTTTTAATAGCTGTCTCTTATTGCATTTCGTTTAAATTAATTTACAGGAAAACGACGAGGTGCTGGTTGCTGGGTTTGGTCGTAAAGGTCATGCCGTTGGAGATATCCCAGGAGTTCGTTTTAAAGTTGTGAAGGTTGCTAATGTGTCTCTCTTAGCTCTGTACAAAGAAAAGAAAGAAAGGCCCAGGTCATAATCTGTGCTGACCAATAAACCTTGAGTGAAAGAAAAACATATTTAGTTATGCTGAACCTCAATTTATTTATATAAACAGTAGTATTTAATAATTTGCACTTAATAATGCCTGCTAGTTACATTTTAAACAAAATGGTTGTTCTTTCCATTTTTGTTCCATCCTTGTCATTATGACTGTAAATTAGTGTCAGGTGCTAAATTTAGTTCTACTGAATATGAAAATATTGATGTAGAAACAAATGTTTCCTTAAGTACACAACTTTTATGTAATAAAAACACATCTTATAACCTACTAGAACTTTAATCAAAGAAAGTCACCACTAGTTCTGACATTAGGTCTACATAAGAAAGAAAAACTAATTCACTGGTGTTATGCTGAAATCAATTGCAGTACGTTTGTCTGATGGATGAGGGTTCATATCACTGTGAACAAACACAAACTTTTTAAATATTTGTATTTCATATTATTTTCAATAATATTGTAACTATATACAGAAGGTAGAATTATTGATAACATGGCAGTCTAACACCAAGAAGAACGTTGAGAATTTCTAACTGTACTTTATTTTATTAGAAATATCAAAGAACTGTGGTTTTAAGTAAAAAATATTCTTGTCTCAATAATATTTGAAATGAACCAAATACAACCAGAAACTATAAAGTTTTCACTTTAGTTGAAGGTAATATTATACATTTTTATTCACAACATATCAGTTCCGCTTTGGAAAATAATGAAAATTACAGGTACAAAACATGAAAGAATATTTTTGGTTACTGTGGGGATTTTGGTGTAATTAGTGGATTATCACAGTTAATATTTTCTATTGTTAATAAAAGGGGTTGTGTTACAATGATACTGGACTGTGTATCTGTGGTTCGCATTCCATTACCACTGAAAAAAAAGCACACACTTTAGGGCCATGGCTGCAATATAATAGTGATGGCCCAATCCCACTATTTGATTAGAGTATCCACAAATTGGTCGTGGGTAGTAATGGCTAGAGTAGTTGGCTTTCAGGTAGGTTTGTACAGATTTGAACAATTTTATACAATGATATAAAAATTAACTGAAAATTTAGGAAAGGGCATAATTGTCAAGTTTAAAAAAGATTTACTGACATAGTAGTCATAATATGCAAGTGATGAAAATGATGTAATAAATAGTAGACATTTTGGAAGGTAAAAAAACATATTTTTCTACAATGGTGAGTGTCCATTATGTCTATTATTTACATTAAAAGTATAACGTTATATATTCCAAAAATACTACAAGCCCCTGCTGTCCTGTGGGTTGTATATCAATGGAAGAGTTAGAATTCAGGCTTCAAAAGAATTGTTGTGGACATCACCGAGTCTGTAAGATATAATATCTGGGCTGCTAATACTATATCTATCTTATCGGCCCACTTCGATAGAATAGAAACACCCAACTAATCCCTGAACTGTCCTACACAGCCATGTACCTCACTCTTACTCGGATCAGATTGAATACCCCACCATCTACCAAAATAGGCATGATTTCTGTCGTTGAGTCAGAGATTTGTAAAACAGCCAGTTTATAAGATCAGTATTTATGTACAGGTATATTTTATGTGTGTAAGTTAGTAAGCTTATCTTAAATCAGAAACTCTTAGTGATGTACATTTATGAATTACTCTTATTTTTTCACTATGAGTAATCTATTATTACTAAGACCTAACTATTAATTAGCGATAGTGTATGTTTTCACTCCCTTTAGATTTATTGGAACATTTATAGACAGTTGAGTTCAATGTTGTTTCCAATTTATCGATGGCGTATTTCTCAACAACAGTGTAGAGAGATAAGTGTGAATAAACTTAAGCTGTGCGTTCTCTTATAATTAGTAATCATAGAGGTCAGAGTTTTATAAGCAAGTAGGAGACTACTAACGTTGGTTATGTTGCTTTCTGCCAATTCATCGTTTCAAAATATACCGAAGAGTTAATAATAATAAGTGTTTTTAAAATTGTGACTTATGTGAAGTGTTTTCAAATTATTTTGAAACTACGTATTGCAGGCCACGTGGCCGGTTTAATTACATGACTTTTTCAAATGTAAAAATATTGTGTGTATCAAGTTAGATATACAAAACACACTACGCCATATTAAGATGTTATTTAGCATACATTATTGGTCACTTAAGTGTAAAAATGCAAATATAATACTTATATTTGGCTATGTGGTAATTGTTCTTTGCAGGCATGAACTATTTAAATTAAATAACTTTTGTTGCTAAAACACGTGTTGCCACTATTCTTATGTTACTTATTAGGAATTTATATCCCCATATTATACTCGCTAAAACAATATCTGAAGTGTTATTTGTATTCTCAGTTGATATCTCTTTAGAAATATAAAACGGATTTAGTTATAGAAGCCACTTAGAAGTATTCCTAATTCATCAAATTAAAATTTAAAATGGCTTGTTTAAACTTGAATTTTTAATATGTAATATCACACACTTGATTCCTACCTCTATTCATCTAATTGAATATTACAAATAACATTCGAAATTAGACAAATTTTCAGGAAACTTGATAAACAGATATTACCTATTTATTATCATTAAAGAAATCTTGATTGTTACATCAACGTTAACAGAAATCACAAACTATCAGTATCATACAGAAATAAGAGACAGGACAACGGAAAAATCTAGTAATAAAGATAACACGTGAATCGTTTAGTAATAGTTTCATTTTGCAAAAAAGAAAAGTATCAGAAGCTCATCACTAGCATACATTTTCACCGTTCTTGCTGTCCTTCTTTCACTGCCGGTTTATCGCTCATTTGTATCTGTACCACTCGTTCATTTGGCTGCTCACCCTCCAAGGCTTTCTTAGGTGCCTCAACCGTCAAAATTCCGTCCGAACTCAGGGAAGATTGTACGGTTTCTGGATCAACTTCTTTGGGCAACATGTAACGTCGCACAAATTGTCGAGATATAAAGCCATGCTCATCTGGCTTTTCTTCGTGTTTACCTTCAATAACAACGCAGTTATCAACAGTTTTCACATTTATTTCGTTAGGCTTAAAATGGCTCACATCAAGTAATAGCTGGAATTTATCGGCTTCATTTTTCACCTGAGAGAGGCCGCTACCTACCTTACGGCTTACTTGACGCCGGGGCCGTACATAGTAGCCATGATACAAAGTTGGTGTTAAAATATCACTGTCATGAATCCCAAGCCCGAAATGCTGATCTGCGATACGACTAGGAAAATCCCAGGCGTCCCACCAGTCTTGACCAAGCAATACAGGTACTAAGCTACGCGAAAAAGCCATAAAAACTACCTTAACTTGAAAGAATGTAGATTTTTTTCTTACTCAAATTTATACGCCGGTGTCACGATCTAAAACTTCTAACTTAATTCCTGTCGAGATCTCTTATATAGGTTGTGGTAGGCCCTCTACCTACTTCTAGAAATCAACCATACCATTAGGAGAACATTCGAGAAACGTTTACGTAACTTCTGCTCTTCCAGTATTGCGCAATCTGAGTTATCATAGCGCAACCTAGAAAGTTCAATATCTAAACCAACATTACGCGAACGTTCTAGAGACAATTTTTGGCTCTTCTCAACAGTAACACTGTAAGTTCATGTTTCATTTAATATTTTCATTTAAGAACCTTTATGAGTGAACGCAATGCTAAGTAACTAAACGTATTAGTTAAAAAGAACTGCAGTCATACAAGTGGAATACAATTTCAGACCCTTAGAAATTTTAATTTCAAAGCAGGAGTTCTTGACATTTTAACATCGTATAGAAATGCAAGGCCAGAGTCAATTTGTAAATAAATAGTATTATGCACGTTACAGGAAGAAAAAAACGATACTGATTTTTTTCAAAGCTAAAATAAAAAAGCAACTAAAAACAACGTACTGTATATCCATCATATAATATAGTTTAACATAATTATCCTAAGGTAACAATATAGCATTAAATTTCTCTTCTTCAGAAAGATATTTGTACTTCATTAGACGTAAAACGAGATTCAATTATTATAAAAATAAGATAAATAAATCATTATGCTGTGCTGTCCACTCGGTCTCCCCAGTGTTAGTTTTGTCAGAATAGTAAATGTCCAATAAAGACATGGTCTTACTTGAACTTTTTTTTAACAGAATTTTTCAATCTTTGTTTCTTATATTCGCGCCAAGATACAAGAGGGTTAGCAAAACCCTAATTTTGAGCTGATGATATATCACCCAAAGCGACCTTATGGACCATACTAATAAAATGGTTTAGTTGTTGTTGTTTGTTATTAAGCACAAAGCCCTGCCTACCACGGGTATCCGCAGACATACCGCTATATCACTGGAAGAAAATGGTTTAGTTTGACTGTCACTTTTGTAATGCATTAACGGCTGTCAAGTGTCCTTGCTGTAATCTCAGGCCATAGTCTCACCTCCGTGAAAACTTTTACCTCTCTGCCATACATACTATGAAATATTGTATAGTGCTCTTTCAAGATTGTGATTTATTGTATCTAGGTTAACCAGAGTCAAATATTTCTAGTTTACATATTCAAAAGAAGGTTAACTACTAAGTCAAATTAGTTTGTATAAAATTCTGTTTCATGCCTCCATCTGAGCACGGCCAACGCCCCAGGGAAGTAACAGCAGAGAAGCATGATCAAGCTGGTATACACTGAGTGGTCACAAGTAAATAGACACCTAATTTTTCGTCATTTAACTGATTTATGCTAACTAATTTGTGTTCACAGAGCACTATATAAATGAAAATGGTCCGCACACTAATTATCTTGTGTTACAACATGCCTAGAACTCAAGGTTCTCTCGAATTGTCAGATTTTGTTAGAGGAAGCATAGTTGGTCAAGCAGATGGTGGAATAAGTCAGCGGCAAATTTCGCAGAATTTGGGAATCCCGCGTTCCGACAGTCAACAGAATCATCGTGCAGTTCAGGAAACACGGCAAGGAAACAACTGAGCAGCATCTGGGTCATCCTGGTCCATCGGAGAGGACAAAAAGGGTTAGTCAAGAGGAGCATCGAAATGGATCCCAGATTAACGACTGCAGAAGTAGCCAAAGTTAGTGGGATGAGCCCGAAATCTGTTCAACAGGTTCTCCACAAATTGGGTTATCGTTGCAGAGCAACTAGACGGAAGCCCTTATTAAGACTTGCCAACATAGTTAGACGAAAGAACTGGGCAAG